CATGGGCCCTGCCGCCGAGCTAGAGAAGCTCCAAGAAGCTATGGGCCCGCTGGGTGCCAAGTTCTGGGAGCTGGACACAGGTGCTTTTTGGAAGTGAGTTCTCTTGTAGTTTCCAAGTTTTTCGTGAGCTTTCAAAGGCTCCCCGAGACCAGCGGACAGTGAAGTGTGCAGAAATCCGGGATCAAGCCGCCTACATTAATAGAGGGACCGCATTATAAGTATAGTAGAACAAAACCCTATTCTAATTATTAAGGTTCCTACATTACATTTAGTAGGGGGACCGTTATAGATGGTTTCAAAGGGGCTTGGGGGTGCGAAATTGCCAATCTCATGCCAAATCTGACGGCCTTGTCCTGAATGCTACAAGGGCAGCCCTTGGGCACTCCAAACCAGAAGCTACTTCTAAACCACAAAGCCCAAGCCCCACCTGTAGCCGAAAAGACCTACCCTTTCTAAGGAATTATATATATAGAACCCATAATAAGGAACCCTAAAAAGGTAGGTCTTTTCGGTTACAGGCAAGCCCTACAGCCGAGATCCTTCCACTCCAAATTCGCGAGCCGCGCACCCCCAAAGCCCGGAGAGCTCTGCTGCCCGTTTGCAGGTTGCCGGGGGCGGCGCACGCCTGAATCTCAGAGATTCCTCCGGTGGCTCTGCGCCCGAAATGACAAGACCCGCAGCGCTAGCTCCCTCGAGCCCCTGCAGCCGCAGACCCGAAACCTTCGAGGCATCAAGGCCCTAAGAAGCAGTAGTGGGAGGCTTGAGATCCCAAAGTTGACGTGTTAAACTACAAGTGCTATCCGGATGCTTAAGTTGTCGCCCCTTATGCGTCTCGAAATTCTTCGACGTCATGAAATATGCACTGCAAAACACCCGAATATTGCTTAGAAATCTTCGGTTTCGCCGGCCGACCGAGCAACAGATCATCGTTTATGCTCAGCACTTGCTTTTAGGGCATCCACTGGACCCCTGCTGCGGGTTTTCAGGGATCTTCCAATGAACTCTTGATATGTTCTTCAGGGCTTAATTTTTGGGTTTCAGGGGCTCAGAAATTATCGCGTGAGTCTTCGGTTTTTCATACCCTCAACCCCACTTTGTAAGCCCTAAGACCCAGGACTCGGGCTCCTTTGCGTGAGGGTTTCAAGCGCCCGCGAACTGCCGGTTCTTATCCCCGCCTGGCTGTCAGGTACGCAGGCACGCGAGGAGATACCCAAGGTGGGGAGCGAGAGAGAGAGAGAGAGAGAGACAGAGAAAGAGAGAGAGAGAGAGAGAGACAGAGAAAGAGAGAGAAGGAGAGAGAGGGACGAAGAGAGAGCGCGAGAGACAGAGAGAGAGAGAGAGAGAGGGTGAGTTAGCCAGCTGGCTAGCGAGCTAGCTAGCTAGGTTGATTGATGGATGCATGACTGGATGGATGGATAGATAACTAAGAAGCCAGATGGAAAATGCATTCTCGACATAAAGACATGTAGCTGTAGCGGAATGAATCTACGGAGCTCGTTCTTCAAGGCTCCACTTTGGCTGTTTGTGTTTTTGGCTTGTTATTCTGGGCCGTCGTGTCCGAGCTAAGAAAGCAGAAACGCCGCGTGCGCTTCGTGCCATCATCCGTCCCGTGCCTGCAGAAGCCAGTCTCGTCGGCCTTACAGTTCGAAGGGTTTAGGGTTTAGGATTTGGGGTTTAGGGTTTAGGGTTTAGGGTACTTTGCGTCCTGTCCTTGCGCAATTCCGCCTGTAACCCTTAAGCCCGATGCATCGCCGAGGCAGTTGGTGTTTCGCATCTTCTTCGCAAGCTCACCGACCCGAGAAACCACAGCCAATCCCTTAACCCTGCCAGCCCTTTCTACCAAAACCCTGAACCCTAAAACCGACAACCTGAAGCCCTGAAGCCTACACACCCAAGTTGCACCAGTCGCCCCGAACCCTAAACGTTTGAACCTCAAAGCCTCCAGCCCTAGCCCGAACCCCTCAAGTCCAACAGCCGTCCTAAACCCTAAACCCTAAACCCTAAACCCTAAACCAAGCCCCGATTGTCGTAGAGTTCGGCCCTGATCTTTGGCTCAGGCCGTCGAGGCCCGCGCGCCGGTGGCTTACACTGGCCATACTTGGAGGTTCATGGGTAGTTATAGGGTTTAGGGGTTTTGGGGTTTAGGGGTTTAGGGTTTAGTAGTTTAGGGGTTTAGGGGTTTAGGGTTTAGGGTTTAGGGTTCATGGGTAGTTAGAAGTAGGGTTCTAAGTAGGGTAACGATACTTATAACCTTATTTAGGGGACTTATAACCCCACTTATAACTACCCATGAACCTCGAAGTGGGAAGCTCCGTGGAGGGGTTCTCTGGAGCGGTTCCTAAGTCTAGCAGGTCTCCATAAAAGATTTCAGGAAGGTTTCCGTAATTATAGGGGGTTCTATCAGGGTGTGTTCAGGTTTCTGTTGCAGATTCTATAGAGTTTCTATAAAGTGAGTGGGGTTCAGGGGGTGAAGACCGCAGCTTCGGTGCGATGCAGCCTTGGGTTAGACTTTAGTTGGGGCATGTTGGGGCAACCTCACTTATAAGTAGAATAAGAACACCAATTCAGGTGCAAAGCACCGTCTTACGAAGTCTCATGGTCCTGAAGCCTGAATCGGAGCAGCTCAGGGTAGCGATTCCAGCAGCCCGGCAAGCCACCAGCGAGGACCTCGGATGTGCCCAAGAGGTGGAGGGGTTTGCCCAGGTGGAAAAGCCTGAGGTTAGGTTTATGGTTTCGGGTTGCCCTGGTACCCCAAGCCCTAAAATCTAAACCCCTACTGGGTGTTCTGGAAGATAAGGGGCTCGGAGCTTTGGATCCTTCTGAACCCTTGTAGAGCAAGCCTCTAGCATGATCTAGAACTCTTAGAAGGGAAGACTGAGTGCTTTCCTTCCTTTCTTTTCAGTTGTCACATGGCCGGCTTTCAGGGAGCCCGAGCGTAATGTCGTAGCTTCAAGCAGTAGCCATATGCCCCGTGTAATTCCAATATTCTCACAATTAGTCTTATAGTATAAGATAGGATTTCATGTGGGGTCTGAGTAAGTATCTTATTCGCGTGCAGTGCCCACACTACAATCTTATACCGGGCCATCCTGTTCTAAGTGTTCAGGTTCCTGCATAGAGCGAAGGTCCGTTCCCGTCTCGCCAGCTTGCTGCTTCAAATTCTACCGCCTTAGCTGGTGAGACATGTGCTCTGGTCTTGATTCACCGTAGATTTTGCACAGCCATGTATGGGCGCAGTGCCACAGCCACTCATGCGTTTCAATGTTGGATAGACAGGTGCGGTGCAGTACTCTCCCAGGTTTTCTTGGCCAGGCTCAAGCCCCCAACTCTACTCCCTAGACCCTAAACCCTGAACTTAAGCCCTAAACCCTAAAGGGCCTAAACCCCCCTCTCAACAAAAACAGCCCTAATCTATCCGTTTGACATCAGGGCAGCAAGCCCCCGAGAAAGAGACCCCTAACGCTGCAGAGCAGAGTCGCCATGTGCGGCAGCGTGGGGTCTTGGCTTTCTTGGCTACTGCTGTTTGCAGGAGCTCTGGGTTTTGTATGGGGTTTTGGGTTTTAGTTTGTATGCTTTGGGCTTTAGGGTAAATTTTAAAACCCTGATTTTATGGGTTTTGGGGTTTTAGTTTGTATGCTTTGGGCTTTAGGGTTGTAGGGTTTGAGCGCTGCTTGGTGCATCTAGCAGTCAGGCCTTGTCGCGCTGCTCGAGTGTTTCCATTACGAAGAGTCTCAGTGTCTACTTTCTCAGCTTCTACAGGCTTTTCGGTCGTATCATCAGACGGATGCGCGGCAGAGTTTCAAAATTTAGCCCAAAGCGCAGGGCCAAGCGCTCACCTTGCCGACGAAGCTTTGCTGGAGCCGCCTCAAATCGGGGCGGTGCCCCGTGAGTTACTGGGCAACTTCGGAGCCCCCTGGCAGTTACCGGGAGCTTTCGCCTTGGTTGGGGTTCAGGGTTTAGGGGTTTAGGGTTTAGGGTTTAGGGTTTAGGGTTTAGGGTTTAGGGTTTGGGGTTTAGGGTTTAGGGTTCAGGGTGTAGGGTTTAGGGTTCAGGGTTTGGGGTTTTTCGGGGGATTGGGACTGTAGACTCTAAGGCCACCATGTCAGGTTTGCGCTGGGGCTCAAGGAGCCTTGTGTAGCCGGGGCTCAAGCTTCCAGGTTTGCAGTCGGAGGCGTCGGGACTTACACAAGGGTCTTGAGGGTAAGCTTTCATGGTCTTTTTGCTTAACATGCACAAGTACGTAGACCTACTATTACCTGGTGGCCAGCATTTTTTTCTCTGTCAGCTGTGGCATCACGCTGGCTTTCCGAAACTTGCATTTCCGCTAGAGCGAGCCTTGAATCCTAAACCTGAAACCCTAAACCCTACACCACCCTACTCTAGGAGCGGCACAGCCCTGCTGCCTGCAGTGGCCTTCTCGGATCCTTAATACTAGCCAGACTCGGGCTTGAAGTTAAAGTTCTACATAGGGACTGCAAGGGTACATTGCTAGTCCGACCCCTATGTATCAGAAAGCTTGTGCAGTTTGTGGTTTAAAAAGAACAAAAGGACTTGGTCAAGGAACAGAGGCAGTTTCGGCTTCTGCCCTAAACCGTAAACCCTGAACCCTAAACCAAACCATAAACCCTAAACCCTAAGTAGTCTTTGTTCTGCTTTAACTTCAAGGCAGTCGTCGATGGCCTCTTCGAACTTCTGGGTCTCGCGGAGGAGAGATAAAGGCAGGAAGAAAATGGACGGACATTTTGGGGGCCTACATAGTTGACAATATTATTCCTTGGGTTCCTCATTATTACTTCTAGTATCATATGCCCCAAAACCCCATTCTATTTATACAGGCCACTGTAATATGCTGCTTTAGCCCCAAGGCTCCAAGCCCTAAGCCAGCAACACCCTCTCTCTTTAGGGTTTAGGATGTAGGGTTTTAGCGTTTAAGGTTTAGGGTTTGGCCATTAGCGCCCCAGCCCTACCCTAACCTCTCAGCCCAAAACTTTCCCTGGGAGGAGCTAAGAGGCACTCTACTGGGCCTCCGGAACGAGGAGGCGTGGTGCCCCCAAACCCCGTCCTTGCAGAAAGCCGCGATCCGTGCCCTGAGCTCTGAAACCGGTGTGTACGATTTCGGGGTTTGTGGCCCTCAGATGCATGTGAGGTCGTGGCAGGCTTCGGTACAAGGTATGGGGTGAGGCCCTGCCAGCCCCGCCCACAAACCCTAAACCCAAAGCCCTTTCTGTATCCGACCTCAGGCACCTCAGGAAGGAAACTCGTGGCTTGTCGTTGCAATACAGGAGCCTATCTTTCCTAAAACATCTCCCACATGTAGTCATGGAGCACAGATATCATCCTTGCATTTTTCCATGAGCATGCACGGTATTTTTACATGAAAATCAAGATACGTATATGTATGCTTCACCCCAGCACAAAACCATCAAGGCCCTCGAGGTCGCCCTAGGAAACGACGCCAACTCAGCTCGGATGCGGTTCCACGGCAGGCGGAAGCCTGCACCGTGCTCCTCCTCCTCGCAGACCAGGAGCGCAGTAGCAGAAGTAGCAGTAGCAGTGGCAGTAGCGCGCAGCAGTACTGGCAGAAGTCGTCGTCGTCGTAGCAGTAGCAGTCGTCGCAGTAGTAGTGGTGGTAGTACTAGCAGCAGCAGCAGCGGCGGCAGCAGCAGCAGCAGCAGCAGCAGCGTGGTTTTGATCCTATTCAGCATCACCACCACGACAACTACCATCATCAACTTGGCACCAGCAGCACCATCACCGAAACGACCACCTCAATCAACATCACGTTCTTCATCTTCATGGTTGTCACGGCTATACTTATCGTCATCATCCTCAAGACTCCCTCGCTGCACAGTGCGGTTCCTGCAGTCAGAGCAAAGGGATTCGGATATCGCGCCGCATGGCGTGCACACGTTATTTGCACAGTCCGGTGCCAGCGACCTCTGCCGGTGATGCATCGAGTGTCCCGCCCGACTTACTCTCCACGAGTGATTGCAAGGGTTCATGGCTTAGGCGTAGGAGTTCGCGCAAGTTCGTTTGCGTGGCCTCGCCGCACGTTTCATTCTTTCTGTGTGTCCTCCTCGTGCGAGGGGCCATGCTAAGCTCGAAAAGTACAGACGGGATGCTCCTGATAGTTGTCGTGCTTCGGCAAAACCGAACTCATTGCTGCCACAGCCGTGTCGTGTTTGCTTGATCCACGGCATGGGCATGCAGACCATAATTTGGAGCAGACACACATGCACTGATCCAAGCGCACAAATGCACACACGTATGCGGGGACTACGTAGGCGGAGGATGTGGGGTCAATGTTGTGATCGCCGGGCCCGCAGCACGGCACGGACACGCAAAACCAGAGCACTGCCAAAATACATGTGTGGCCCATTGCACAGAGGTGGTGCTGCGGCATGGTAAAGCGTGACACATGTGTGTACTGCAACACACATGTCTGTTCCATTCCAGCGCTTTGTTGTGGCCTCCAAAGCCTGAGCCCTGCTGCCTCATCCGCCCCAAGGGGTTTTCGAGTTTGGCCAAGTCCGACATGGTGCTCCTAGCGCGGTGCCGTGCGTAGTTTGGGGTGTGCACGGTCTTCTAGCCACTGTCCTGTGCGTGTCCCCAAGCGGAAACCGTGTCCTTGCTGCAGTGCCGCGCTCACTTTGACTACAACTGCTGTTCGCGCTAGCGCATTCCCCCCGCGCACTTTAGTGTCCCGCCTCCCTGCGGTGTGCGTTCTGGCATGCCAGCACAGTGTGGAGCAGCTTGTGGATTCATGGCCTGAGAGGTGCTCTGTTGGCAAGGTATATTTCTGGTGTATTTAGGGCTGTAGGGTTTAGTACCCTCAAAGACAAAGTCATGCTGTGAAAGCGGATGGATATGATTCGGGGAACTACTGCTAGGAGCAACGGCAGAAGAAGCATTACACAAAATATCAGCATCAACGGTCATGAGAAATGCCATAACTTTTGCAAAGGTCATAAAGATCGTAAACGTCGTAAACCCTCAGCCCAACCTACCTAAACACTGTCTCATGTAGCCATAATAACTGTGCCAAACGTTTTTGTTTTCACGTCGAGGCCCTGGCAAGTCCGAACTACGCGGCCATAGGCAAGGCCGGGTATGTTGCACCAGGGCATCGTTTTGGGGCCTAAACCCTAAACCCCAAACCCACAGGGCCTGTAGTGTTCAGGGCTCAGAGGGCGTCAGCTTCGAGATGCAGGCTTTGAGAGAGGGTTCACTGCCCTGAACCCTAAACCCCGAAGCATCGCAAGCTGAAGCTGCAAGTCTTCTGGTCATCGGTTTCGACTTTGTGCTTTAATTTTGGCGATGGCAGTTTCCGTCTCAGGAAGTAAGCTGCTTCTCCACCAACCCCCCCAATAGGGTATGAAACGGCATCCCAGACAGCCGTAAGCCCCAAAATCTAAACCGTACCCGGACCCAGCTGACCTACCTTGTTAGGGTTCCTTCCTATGTTTTCTTGTTATAAGTCGGGTAGCTTATTTGGGGCTAACCTAGTCTTTGCAGCAGTCTCCTGAAACCCCGCAAGCTTTTGATGCCTGACGCCGCAGAGCACATACGCAGACATCGAAAAAGCCGGTTTGTTTCAGGATTCAGGGCACAGGGCCCTAAGCCCTGAACCCCCCTAAACCCTAAACCCTAAACTCTAAACCCCTAAACCCTAAACCCTAAACCCTAAACCCAAGCCCTTAAACAGGGTTTCGAATCTGAGTCGTTGCTAGGGCGGCCACAACCCGACCTCCCGGCTCGCCTACCGCGAGCGCGCCGACCTCGTCTTCCTCCACCCGGTCTCCAGCGAGCGGCAGGCGGGTTGGGTTTAAGGGCTTTAGATGGCTCTAGGGTTTTAGGGCTTTAGGGTTTTGGGGTTATAGGTTTAGGGGGGTTTAGGTTTAGGGGTTTTAGGTTTAGGGGTTGAGGGCTTGAGGGTTTTGGGTTAGGGGCTCGGGGCTTAAGGCTTAGGGGTCTGGAGCCTCAGGGATTTAGGTGAGCCAAAAAAAGGGCATCGGGAAGCTTCTCAGGGGTCCTCCTGGGTTCGCAAAAGGGGCCTTAGAGCGGGTTTTTTAGGTGTTTAGAGGTTATAAGTACCCTAAACCCTAAACCCTAAACAGCTATAAGGGTCTTGCAAAGGGCATTATATGGGCTTTACCCGGATCTTCTGCCGGATCTAGATCTTGCTAATAAGCCTTGAGCCCAAGACCCCCAAAAGAAGCCTTACCCCCTACACTCCTAAATCCCAAGAACTCTTATTTGTACTTTTACTAGAACTGCTATTTGACTGTTCTTATTGTTCTTTTTCGTTGACATGCCGCGATAAGAAGTTTGTTCTATTCTACCCACCACTGGGTTCTTGTCAAAGGAGTTAATTTAGGTTCCCACAATAAAGATGAGGTACTGGAGGTTCTGAAGTTGTCGTGAGGCTGCCAGCCGATCCGCTCTCGCCGCGGATGCCGAGGCTTTGGCACGAGGCTACGCAGGGTTTACGGGTTTCGGGGTTTAGGGGTTTAGGGTTTAGGGTTTAGGGTTTAGGGGTTTAGGGGTTTAGGGATTTCGGGGTTTAGGGGTTTAGGGTGTCTGAACAAATGAGGGACGGGCTGATGGGGGTCTTTCGAGCGACATGTTTTGCAGGGATCCACTGGCTCAACATGCAAGTTTGGGGTTCAACATGCACAGGGTCGGTTTTCGAGATGCAAACCTTTGCGGCTTGCTCTGGGACTCTGGGGGTCAACATGCAAAGCTGGGGTTTCGAGATGCAAACAAAAAGAGGCTGAACGCACAGCTCTGTTTCCGAGATGCAAACGGCTGGGGTCGTGGTAGAATAGCAAAATAGTAAAGTAGTGAATAGTGGAATAGTACAGTACTGAAATTTCAAAACTCAACCGGCACAGGTCGGTTTGCGAAAAGCAAACGGCTGGGGTCGTGGTAGAATAGTAAAAATAGTAAAGTCGTAAATAGTACAATAGTAAGTAGTGGAGTAGTACAGTTCTGAAATTTTGAAATAGCAAAATGGTGAAATCCTGGCTCAACATGCAAGGTTCGGTTTCCGAGATGCAAACGGCTGGGGTCGTGGTAGAATGGTAAAATGGTAAAGTAAAGCAGTGAATGGTAATTAGCAAATAGTGGAATAGTACAGTACTGAAATAGTAAAATAGTAAATAGTAAGATCCTGGCTCAACATGCAAAGTTCGGTTTGCTTCAATTCCTTCCGCCGAAGAGACTCCGAAGAGTAAATCCGATGACACCGTGAACCCCAAACCTTTACCCTAAGCTGCAAACTTCAAGCCCCAAGCGCGAAGCCCCACACCCTACATCCCAAACCCCAAACCCTTGACGCGGCTGAAAGGCCGTTCGTAACGCCACCCAGGCAAGCCTGCAGAGGTGCTTTTGACTGCTGCCTTGGGGCGGGAGGTTGGCGCCAGCCCGGAGGAACCGGGGGCGGGGAGAGGAGGATGTCGGATAGCTTTTTATGATGCCTGGAGTTTCCGACAAGTCGGTGTTGTTTCAAGAAGCATCACATAGTATGTGTAGGTTGTACAGGCTTTCAAGCTTCCTCTCCTCAGCACTTTGCATGATGTTGAAAGGTTCTGCCTTCTTGTGGTTGGTTAGGACTTCACCGGATCGAGGCTGCTGTTCGTCCCAGGGGTTCTCACAACTTCGTGTTCTCTCACACTGGCTTGCAAGCTGTCTGGTGTATATCCGTCCGTCTATCTCTCTAGCTATCTATCTATCTATCTATCTATCTATCTATTTATCTATCTTATCTATACATAGAGTCGCACGTACCTGCCTCCGCACCTCCGTACCGACGTGTGCACCTGCATTCCGACACACGTTCGGAAATCATCATCAACACGAAAGATGAGGTATTGCAGTCAGCGATCCAACCCAGTACACATCTTTTCTGCTCGGTGGGTTTGTACCCTCAGCACTGAATTCCGTAAATCCCGAATATCCCTAGACGCAGAGGCTTAAAAATATCCAATTTCTGAGTCCTTCGCTCCAACATTTCCTAAACCCTAAACCCCAAGAGTCCTCAGCCCCAAACCTCTAGGCCCCGACATCCCCAAGCCCCGAAGCCGTCGACCGGCGAAGCCCAAAGTTTAGCTGAACCCTTCGCCGTAAGCCCCAAGACGTAGAACCCTAAACCCAAAACCCAAAACTTACGCCATCAAACCTTGAAGCCCAAGTCAGCAGACTCCAGAACCGAAACTGTCCAGAGTCTTGCACAAACCCTAAATCACAACCTTAAACCCTAAGCCCTAGACCCTAAATCCCAACCCTAAGCCCTAAACCCTAGACTTGTGCAAGGAAGTGGCCCGGTGGAAGCCCACACTTTCGTCCCTAAGGCCCGGCTTCAGAAGCAGCTCTCGTCGCATTTTTTTTGGTGAAGGGGTTTAGGGTTTTTGGGGTTTAGGGCTTAGGGTTTAAGGTATAAGCCGTAAGCCCCAAAGCTTAAAGCCCCCAAGCCCGAAACCTTGGTGTCTCACAAGTCTTACGCCAAGAGCAGCCCGAAAATCTTTCAGCGTCGGGTCTTTAGAAGCCAGAAAGGGAGCCCTAAACCCTAAACCCTAAACAATAAACCCTAAACCCTAAACCCTAAACAATAAACCCTAAACCCTAAACCCTAAACCGGGGCATCATCCGGATGTAAGGAGCCCAAGACTGCTTCTTCAGGAGCTTAGCGCAACTTCACCCCAAGTTACCAGAAGAGAGAAACTCTATTATATTATGGATCCATTATATTTAATAGATCTGTTTTATTTACTATAGATCTATTACATTATGGGTCCCTGTTATGGTAGCTTAAACTCACTTCCTTAACAAGAGCCCCAACCCTAAACCATAACCCTAAACCC